ATTCTGCAGCAATTTGCAATTATAAAAGTACTTTTTACATAGCATATTGCAATATGGATCCTATATCTCGCCGCATGAATGTCTTGCTCATTCCTCTTTCACAAAGTAACAAGTGGTTGATATCTGCACGTATATTAGATATGGATAAATTAACCACTACAAATACAGGCCTCGCTTTTTTCAAATTTCGTAAACGGGCACTGTCGTACGAAGAATATTTAACTTACTTGAAGGATTTGGCTATGTTATATAATTTAAATTTTGAAGATATGAAATATCGATTGCAAATATCTGGCAAGCCTTCAAACATGCATGATACAAAAACAATGTAAGATATTTGAATATTTCATATTCAAAATTTAACTAATTAAAACAAAAGATACAGTTTTCTATTTTAACTTTACTTTGCACTCATATATAGGTTACTTATTAATGACATGTTTATGAATGTTTTTTTTATATTAAACTTTGCATTTAGAAATTGATATATTCTATTATATTTGCGGTATTTTCTGAAATTTAGTTTAGAAACAGAGGTACTATTCATGTAAAAACGTGTGTGTGTGTGTGTGTGAGAGAGAGAGAGAGAGAAAGGACAGGAGGATGTATACATATTTATGTATATATAAATGATAAATTAAAAATATACTATATTATATATTTAATTTTTAGCTAATATCACCAGTGTAACAACATATCTTAACAATGGACATAAGTTTTGACCTTATTGGCAACACAGCCTAATTTCATGACAAAATATATATTTGTGAATTATCATACATATTTTGATGATGCATTTTATTATACTTACATACTTTGATAAAAATATTTATAATTTCTTTCTATCATTCAATATGTATTAGTAATTATGCTCATCAAATAAATAAGTGTACATAAATGAAATACTTTGTAAAAGTAATTCCTAAATTACAAGGCATTAAAATCACAAAAGGGTTTATACACATATTCATACACATATTAGTTTATAATCGCTAATTTGAAAATAAATTTTATTTATATTTTTAATTTAAAAATTGCTCTTTACCCTTTTGTGTTTTTTGAAGTATCAAAACCAAATATTGGAAATCCAATGTAAAACAATATAAACTTTAAGAGAAAAAAAGAATAGAAAAAAGAGCGCAAGAACAATATATTCCTAAATTTATCAAGTTAGATATTCAGAATTGTTATACTCTCAATTTGCTGTAGATAAATTTCTGTGCAAAATTGTGACTGAATTTTTCGTGCTTCATATAATACGTACACACTTGAGTTATATATTTCGTTGTATCCATTTTAATGCATTTTTAACATTAGTGAGTGTTACCCTGTTAAGGAAGCTTGCAATTAATTGATATTCTGGCATTGTGCGCCTTCCACAAAAATGCATCGAAAACGTTTGTTTATATTCATTGTGTCTGATATCGTCTTTTGCATCAACAGACAATCCATAAGACAGGGGCAAATTTTCTTTCCGTCCTTCACAAAGAACTTTTGTGGTTAAACACAAAAGCCATTGCATAATCTGTGTGTGTGATATACAAGTTTTGTTTGAATAAGTTTGTTAATATTTTAACTTGATAGATTTATTATGTATATTTGTTATATTATATATTTTACCTCATTGCTCGATGGTAACTGTCCCTCGTTTTCCAGCCATGAACTAGGTGCCCAGAGATACAGTTGCATCACAGTTGCTGCCAGTTCACTGTCAAGTCGCTATGCAAGTGTTGAAAAAAAAAAAAAATTTTAATATTGTTTCTTACATTGTTTTTTAATGCGAGATTATGATTTTATAAAGTGGATCTTTTTCTCGAGTAGTTGATTCTCTTTACAAACCTTATACAAATTTCTTGACAATGCATTTTTTATGACAATGTTGATAATACGCGGGAGGTTGTCTGGCAACGCAGGAAGCTCGTTTTCAGTATAGTTATAATTGTTTAAAGCAGCTTTGTCATGTCCGTTTTTGCCATGAAACGGATTTTGCATCCCAAATATTTCATATGCTATAGTCCCTACTGTCCAAAGATCAGATTTCGTATAGTTAATACTAGTAAAAGAACCTGGCTCTGCTGTTATCACTTCTGGTGCCATCAATGCGATATTGCCGCCTTTATTGATATCACGAGAGTAATAAGGTAGATATAATCCATGATTTTTATCAGCCAAACAACAACCAAAATCTGTTACGACTAGAGATGGAGAATTATCAGTCTCTTCTGATAGATCGAGCAGAATGTTGTCACTTTTCAGATCTCTAATTTCAGTCAACATTAACAAAAAAAAAAAAGAGAAAAATCCATGATAAATCTCGTCGATTTTTAGAACATGTCATTTCATAGTATGTAATTAATGCATAAGTGGAAAAAGATAAACCAATCTTACCGATGTGCTATGCCATTTGCATTCATATGAGCTACTGCTTCTAAAAGTTGAGCGAGCAATAATATTGACACTCGCATATCAATATTTCGATTTGTTATATACTGTTTCAAAGTAGTGTCATATCTAAAAGATGCGATACGTGTATGTCAAATGTGCTGTGTAAATGTATATTACAAGTATAATCTTATCTTCCATTAAAAAAAAAATAACCTTTTCATCACCAAAAATAGACTCATATTTCTGCCTGATCCATGAGGATTGATTCTACTTGGTAAAGCATCAGGATACATTCCCCAAGAGCCAGGTAACATTGGTATCTCGTCAGTAAATACATAGTACATTGCCACAATGTTTGGATGAGGTGGTAACACAACTTTGCTTTCTACCAATTTTTGCTCCCAAATAGTCAAGTTATCATTTCCATGTTTTCTAGCGGGCACTGTCTCCCTATACATGGCATTCAAAATAGCAGCAGCATTGGATTCTGCATCATAATTGAACATCATTTTTATAGCCAATGGGAATGCACTTGTATCTTCTGCTTTAACTTCAATATTTATTGAATTATCTTCATCCTGCATAGTATTTACAAATCGTGCTGCATATACAGCAGCGGAACAACCTTTAGCAATTATAGGTCCCATTACAAAATTTTGCAAAGTTATAGCATTCTCATTGGTAGGAATAGTTTGATAGTTTTTATCATTTTGTGGCATATTCCATTGCAATTTGGAAACTGCTTCCTAGATAACATATTATATTTCACAAATAGACTACATTTTTGCAAACTAAGGATGATAATAATCTATTCTAAATAGTAAACTAAAAAAATACAATTACCCGAATTTCCCAACATACTCCTTCCAGTTCATCATCCTTTGTTAATATTCCTGTACCTGATGCTAATGATATGCCAACAAAAGCAAAGAATGGCGCAGAATCACCAAAGACAAGTCTACTCGCAGTACGTCTTCGTAAATCTGCTGCCAGACTGTTGGTTACCCTTTTCAAGATATTGTCGACAAAGATGCGTCTAGCATGTGTCCCCAAATAACCAAGATGTTTTCTTGTATTCCACACATTGCCACTATTTTGGCAAAAGCCGCTGTTTTGAGATTTGCCTGTCATAAACATAAACAAAACCATCAAATACAAATTAACTCATCTTCATATGTTGCTTACAGTATGTATTACAAAATATTTACAAATAAGAGACAAAGCAACGATTGTGTTATATGATAGAAAATAGAATATTGATAAATTATTCGCATCAAATGAATCTATTTTATCTTAATCATCTTTGCTGTGTTACTAATAATTTACAATTTAATGGAATCATTTTAAAATATAAGTTAGCTAGTATAAAAAAATATAAAAATATATATTTCACATTGTTAGCATAGAACTTACTTCAGCAGTTATGGACAGTTTATGTTATCTGAATAAAAGGTATAAAATATATAGCGCTACATGTGTGATTACACGATTATCGCGTTGCAACGTCGAATTTTATGGTGAAATTCAAGAAAGTAATTAATTTACCTATCTGTGCACCGTGTATCTTGTCGAGGGGCTTATCTGTTGTATATCCTTTTGAATGCAAGCGCTCGTTATTTCGTAATGAGCGCAATACGACGCGACCATTTTGCACGAGACGATGGACCACTGTCCGTATTGACATTTCGCTCCTTTCTTGGGCTGGGACAGCCCAGCGGGCAAGCCCGCAAATTAAATATGCCTTAAAAGCGGGTGGTAAAGCCGTTATAAAGGTCTCAATCTTTATGCCGTTTAGTCTCTAATCGCGCAATGAAATAAATCTGACACGGCGGCCACGGCGCACAAGACGAACGTATGTATATACAAACACTGTGACTGATGATATATTCATATATGTTTCGTAACTTTCATGACGCCTCGCGTATTTTCGCGTATGCATATATGATACCAAACCACTACCGTGACTCCTGATGTATATATAGGTTAGATTAGGTTAGGTGGTTAAGGGTGAGTTTCCACTGAACGCGTCACGCGCTCGTTATCCAAATCGACCAATCAAAACATTCCATTCGGCTGTACCGGGCTGCGTTCAGAAACTTCGCTTTGGTGCATCTAGATAACATTTTATCCTTGTTTAATATTCGGTGAATAACTGCGAATTCACATCTTGACCACAGTATAACCAGTAGGTCCACTTCGTGTCGGCGCCTTTGATCTCCTTTTCCGGATCACGTGAGCATCCACCATGTTAAATCCAGGATCGAATTGAGAAAAGTGCCTCACAAGTAATAAAACAGAAGTAATAATATGAAGTAATTAGATAATAAGAAGTAATAATAACATTCGGTACAATAAATCAATAAATTCAATG